GTTTGAGAGTGCTAGTCTAAAAAACCAACTCAAAGATCTTCAAAGATGTCTTGAAAGTATGATCCAAAACCGGCACTAAAAGGATACATACTTTAATCCTTATGGAAGCATGTTATCAGGGATGGATCCTATTCTCTTGGATTCCTCTCTGGCTATCAAACTCAAACGCCAAGACCCCGAGCATCGGATTTCTTATCCTCCGACGAGGCTTTCACATCTCGTTATGGCTCGACTTTAATTGGCAATTCACGTCCTAAAACAACACGATCCACGTCCTAAAACAACACGAGCAAAACCACGAAGGCAGAAGGAATCAGAATTCTAGGTCAACTCATCTAAACGACCAACTCTCACGTCATTCTCAAGTCATGAGTCTGTCAAAGACAAGAAGGAAAAAAGGAAGGACATCGGAATAATCGAATTTTCGATGACCAGCTTGCTTGATACGCTCGGCAAAAACTCAGATGAATCTATTCAGACACCTGCAACTCCCATAGATCAGAGACCTTCATCCTTAATACCGATGGCAAAAATAAATCATTTTTCTGACTCAAGCTCGGATTCAGAGGACGAATCTTTAGCAAAACAATTTGCTATAGGAGATGGCCCTACTACTCCAAAGGAAGAGCCTAATATCAACGAAGTCTATTCAACCGATGAAGACATGAATTACACGCTNCCAAATCAAGAAGAAATACCAGCGAAGCAATTCGNCTCAAAGATCATGGTNTTCACCTTNGACGATGTTCCTTTTGAAAAATGGAATGATCGTCTTGATGAATTTCATGCATGGATGAATTCGGAGGCCATTACATCACCGTTACCTCTGGTGATGCAACAATTTACTGCCAGACTATCAGGTGCGCTTAAAGAATGGTAGAATTCGCTNGGTGAATACAGACAACAACAAGTTTATCAGACAACGATACCAGTGCTCCTCGGAGAAATCCACAGAGAATTTATTGGCACGCCGACACATCTCAAAGAACAGCTGCAAGAAGAATTCTTTACAGCAAAATGCTGTTCGATAAGCGAGATCTTGCAAAACACTTCGAACGACAGACTCGGAGATACTATATTCTTAATGGTCTCAACAACCCAAGTCTGAAGCAGATGTATCTCTCCTCCATAAATGACTATCTG